TGGGAGGACGTAACCACATGAACGGCTTGAAACGAAAGGAAGAAGTACATGAACGGCATGGGAGTGTTGAAACGAAAGAAAGGAAGTATCAAATGGACGGGAAGAGTTGAAACGAAAGGAACGCTGTAGCAAATGGAAGGGAAGCGCTAAACGAAAGGAAAAAAATAACGCACCGGGGATAAGAGTTTCTAACATTACTTGATGCTACGCTCTGATATGCTCTGAGACCTTCTGCATGTTTTACATAGAATGAATTGATGCTGTTACCCAACAGTTTCTCCTTAGGCTTCTAACTGGTTGCTGCTACGCTCTAAGACCTACACAACTTGCAAATACTCTACCATCATTGATGCTACGCTCCAAGATCTGCGCATCATTCTTCCAAGTTCTACCATCATTGATTCATTGATGCTACGCCCTAAGATCTTCTCTTCCATCTCCAAACATTTACTGATCTTCAATTTTCTACTATCATTGATGCTACGCTCAAAGATCTTCTCTTCAAGTTTCCAACAGCAGCCATTCTACGCTCAATACGTTCTAAGAACTTCTCTTCAATTTTCAAACATCATTGACGCGACTCTCCAAGATCTTCCCTTCCATGTTCTGACATCATCAATGCTGCGCTCTAAGATCTTCTTTTCAAGTGTTGAACATCACTGACCCTTAGCTCGACGATCTTCTTTTCAATTTTCTACAGTAACATCATTGATGCTACGTTCTTGGATCTTCTCTTCACCTTTCTATTATCATTGACGCTACGTGCCAAGGTTTTCTCTTGTATTCTATAACATGCCACGCTCTAAGATCTAATCAACTTTCAAACATTTCGTCATCATTGATGCTGTACTCCAAACATTCCACCATGAGTGATTCTACGGTCTAAGATCTTCTCTTGAGTTTTCTCACATTCTACCTTGATTCATGCTAGCTGCTACCCTTGAAGTTTCTAGCAAAGTTGGTGCTACGCTCTTAGATTTTCGCTTTGATTTTCTTACATAGTACTGCGTTGATGCTGTAACATTTTTTCTTTCATTTTTTTTAGCATCATGGACCGTTTAAGGTGTTCTCTTCACCAACTGTCAAACATTATGCCTTATGCCATCACTGACACTACGCTCTAAGATCTTCTCTTCAGTTTTCTAACATACTTGACGCTCCGCTACGCTCTGAGATTTTCTCTTCAATGTTCTTCTATCATTGATGCTACGCTCTGGGATATCTTTTCCATTTCCAACATTCTACCGTCATTTTGCTACGCTCAAAGATCTTCTCTTCGACTTTCCAACATTGCACTATCATTGGAGCTATTCTCCAAGATCTTCTTTTTAATTTTCTACCCTTCCACCACCGTTGATGCTACGCCCCAAGATCTTCCCCACGCTATGGAAGACATGGGTGGTATATGGTTTGCCACATGGTTTCGCGAGGCACGATAAAATCCTACCTATCCAACCTCCAAACTTGAAAAAAAACGCCTTTCCAGCAAAACTGATTTTTTCCAAGTGCCAACTCTGCCATGTATTTCTACCAGCACGCAGCCACTCGCAGCCACTCGCAGCCACTCGCAGCCACTCGCAGCCACTCGAGTGGCCGCAAGTGGCCGCAAGTGGCCGCTCCAGCCAGTTCCAGGCGAGTGGCCGCAAGTGGCCGCCATGCCGCAAGTGGCCGCAAGTGGCCGCTTTCTGCGATTTCAATTTCCACCCTCAAAGCAGCCCCCGTGCAAGATTTCCAAGAGATTTCAATAGGTTGAATAACTTCAAAGAAGCTCTTTCAAACTGCTCGCATAAAACAGGGGAAGGCATATTCATATGTGAACAGTTGCTTTGCTTACGTTCCATGTTGGGAGGGTCCTGACTGCAATCATTCTATTTCATGTTTTAATGCGGGCCCAAGAACAAAAATGACTTTCGTGAAAGTAGCTCATGACATCCCGCAGGGCGGACCCCGGAAGGAGTTGTTGAGCCAGGACGGGTCAAGCCGATTCAAATTGCTATTTTTTCCGATGAAGCATGATGAAGCATGACAGTGAGGTATGGACGCCTCATTTCACCACAGGTCTGACAGAGCCAAACTCAGAAAGGTGCAACAACTTACTTTTTTTTCTTGATACTTAACTCAATAAAGTCAAACAGTCCTATCCTATTGGAAATGAGAACCTTTATTGATGATGAAACTATATGAATCTTGATGAATCTTAATGATAATAGTAAATCATACAGTATTATATTGTCATATAAGGAGGCTAATGCCCTGGTGCCGCCGACCCCCTGTTCGAGGGCGGGCGGCAAAGGGCCAAAAAGGAACCGGCAAACGGCAGTTTCGAAACCCTGAAAAGATACATGACCAGGCAGCTTGGAAGGCTGGAGAAGGTGGAGCAAGGAGAGAGGTACATGACCGGGCAGCTTGAGGGCCGGAGAAGGTGGAGCAAGGAGGCCCTAGTTGAACCTAGCAGCTTGGAAGGCTTCAGAAGGTGGGGGAAGGGTTGGCCCTAGTAGAACCAAAACCCAAAAGGCAGTGCCGAAACCTTTTCTAGATTGGTGGCCAGGCAGTTTGGAAGGCCAGAGAAGGTGAGGCAGGAGACCCTAGTAGAACCTAGCAGCTTGGAAGGCTTCAGAGGGTGGGGGAAGGGTTGGCCCTAGTAGAACAAAACCCAAAAGGCAGTGCCGAAACCTTTTCTAGATTGGTGGCCAGGCAGTTTGGAAGGCCGGAGAAGGTGAGGCAGGAGACCCTAGTAGAACCTAGCAGCTTGGAAGGCTTCAGAAGGTGGGGGAAGGGTTGGCCCTAGTAGAACCAAAACCCAAAAGGCAGTGCCGAAACCTTTTCTAGATTGGTGGCCAGGCAGTTTGGAAGGACCTAGTAGAACCTGCCAAACGGCAGTGCCGAAACCCTTAATAGATTGATGACCGGGCAGCTTGGAAGGCTGGAGAAGGTGAGGCAGGAGGCCTTAGTAGAACCTAGCAGCTTAGAAGGCTTCAGAAGGTGGGGCAAGGGTTGGCCCTAGTAGAACCTGCCAAACGGCAGTGCCGAAACCGTTAATAGATTGATGGTCAGCTTGGAAGGCTGGAGAAGGTGGGGCAGGAGGCCCTAGTAGAACCTAGCAGCTTGGAAGGCTTCAGAAGGTGGGGCAAGGATTGGCCCTAGTAGAACCAAGACTGCCAAAGGCAGTATCAAAACCTTTAATAGATCGATGACCGGGCAGCTTGGACGGTTGGAGAAGCTGGAGCAAGGAGGCCTTAGTAGAACCAAGCAGCTTGGAAGGCTTAAGAAGCTGGGGCAAGGGTTAACCCGAGTAGAACCTAACTTGGAAGGCTGGAAAAGGTGGGGCAAGGAGCCCCCAGTAGAACCTAGCAGCTTTGAACGCTTAAGGGGGGCAAGGGCAAGGGTTGGCCCTAGTAGAACCAAGACTGCCAAACGGCAGTATCGAAACCCTTAATAGATAAATGACCGGGCAGCTTGGAACGCTTCAGAAGGTGCGGCAAGCGTTGGCCCTAGGAGAGGCAAAACTGTAAACGGCAGTTTCGAGACAATAGTTTCATGACCAGGCAGCTTCGAAGACTGGAGAAGGTGAGGCAAGGAGGCCCTAGTAGAACTTAGCAGCTTGGAAGGCTTTGGAGACTCTGGAGACTACCAGCTTGGAAGGGAAGCAAAGTAAATGGGAAGGCCCAAGTGCAATGCCGGACAGCTGCGGTGATCCCAAGCGCCGCCCCGCCTAGGCCAAAGCTAGGCAGGGGTGGGCGGATTTGTCATACATACTGTCACTGATATTGTTATTGTCACTCAGTCAGTTTGCCACATTCGAGAAACCTTCGACAGTGACCTCCGGGAGGTGCAACTGACATCAACCGGAACGGCAAGGCCGGTCCGTGTCAGGCGATGTTCCCGGATATGAAACGTAATAGAAACGTGACACAGGACATAGCATGGAACAGGACATAAAAAGGGCATGTTGTGATTTGTTGAATTTGTTGCAGTTGTCCACCACGGAGTTCGAACATGGTGTGCGACTTTTCGCACCATCGACAGCGCTTGGCTGGGCAGGAAGGGGTACAAATGCTATGACGAGACGAGTCGCTCATGACGCATTTTTGAGAGTAAAATGAGTCAAGATAACAGTTTTTTGATGTAGGGTAGGACGCACTAGAGTGGAAATTCGAGTGAGAAGTCAATTGGGAAATTTTGAACTTGAAGGGTTCACGATTTGTTTGCCATGTCTGACATGGCCAAGTTGATTTAGTTGTGTCGTCTCAGACTGGCCAGGACCTGCGCTTGTCTTGCATAACGAACCTTTGCACAGACGATAGAGAAAGGAAAGACCAGAGTCACCTGGCAGCTAGAAAGGCTGAGGCTGCAATTGCTTAAAGTGTTGAACCTGTTGCACCTGTTGAGTGGCTACAGCGCCACTGCAGTTCCTGACCTTCCATTTTCACGGGGGCTTACAAGTCATTTCGAGTCGTGTCGGTCGGTTCCTGTGTTTCGGGAAGTGCGGCGGTATTCCGGAGGCTTTTGCTTCAGTGGAGCAGAGCAGCGAGAGGTGCCTCCATAAGAGTAGAGCCAGCAGTGACCAGCAATGACCAACGGTGACCAACAGTGACTAGCACATTTACATAGTTACATTACAGTTCTTTTTGGCTCGCTCAAGGCTCAAATCTCAAGACCCCAGAGCGGGCGCGCGATATGTGGTTCCACCTTCTTAGCTTGGTTTGCCCCGCCTTGGCAGCTACTCGCACCTACTTCATCCGGCATGTTCCAAGTGGATATTGCTTGGACGTTTGGGGTTTTCCAGGTCTGGAAGTAGATACGCCCGCCAGCCTCTGGGAATGCGAGTTCGGTAAAGCCGGCAGTGACCACGCATGTGTTTACGAGGGTGGCATGTTCAGAAATCAGATGAATGGTCTTTGCCTTGATGTGGCCGGCTCGAACGCAGCAAATGAAGCTACGGTTCAAGTCGATGCCTGCTTAACTTTAGAGGCAAAGAGTGGGACACCCACAGATCAGACCTGGAATCTACAACCTGCCAGTGGAGAGGATAATGGGACCTACCTCATCAACGGCGCCGCCCCCGGAAGGTGCCTGACCGTTTGGGCCGAAGACTTCATTCCTGCCGCTTGGATCGTCAACCAAGATTGTGAGTTTAATCGAAGCAATCGCACCAGTCAGCTTTGGGAACTTGTAGAGGTCTGCAAGTTGGAGAATAGCAACGCCTACAATCAAACCTGTCCGCCCACATGCAAGCGGAGTGAATACATCCAGGACAACCAGTGTGTGCCGTGCCCGCCTGGACAATTTGCAGAAGACAACGAATGTCGGTCGTGCCTTCCCGACCAGTTCTGGAATATCTTTGATGAGGTGTGATTACTGCCCTGATGGAAAGGAGGTCGCAGATGACATGATGAGCTGTGAAGACGAGACTTTTCTAGGCCTCACGGAGATCCAATGGGCAGCAATTGGCACTGGCTTGGCAGCCTGTTCGATTCTTGCAAGTGCATTCCTGACCTTGCGCAGATGTTGCAAGACTGATGGAGACAAGCAAACACCAAGTCCTAGCCCAACCACATCGGAGATTCCAGTGGTTCAAGCAGTGCAAATAGGATCGCGTCCAGTGCCAGAGGGCACTTCTCCCCAAAACAAGGTGGTCGCCGCATCACCGCCTGCTACGTTCTCAGACCCATATTCACAAGATTTCAAGGAACAGATGGCCGAAATAAATCTGTGAGCGCTTAACTAGAGAATTTGCTGAGCCAGTGGCAGAAGTGAGACTTCTCCACTAAGTCAGGTCTCGCAGCCCCTGAAAGGGCCTGTGATTGATCGTTGACTGACTGTCGACCCGTAGGAGACTTTTTGCAATAAAAAGAGCCTAGACAAACCTAGGTCATCAAGTGGCACAGGCACCGGACTTCAGTGAAGCCTGATTTCTGCGCGAGTTCTTTTGGGAACAGCCATGCCACTATACTATGTACAGCATTTGTTTAACTGTATCAACATGAGCAGGCAATCAGATCAAAGAGGGCGGCTTCTTTTGACTTTGACACTCAAACCATGAACAGCCCACTACAAGAGAAATGCTAGCAGGTTGACATGTCTTAGTAATGTTGTTTTGACAGTTGCAGGCTTGAAGACTTGTGCTGTGTGTTCTGATTTATTGCAATTCGGCAGGTATATCTCGACTTTTCCCAGCTCAAAAAGCTCCTTGAGGTGGAATTGCTGACGTAAGTGGCAAGCAATGTTCTGCAATGTTCTGTATGGTCAATGTTTCTTTCAGTCAGTGCGCGCCAGGATCTAAACATTTGGGATGAGAGCACTGGAGACTTGCGACTCATCATGGACATCGTTGAGTCAGAACCTTTGCCACATTTCGCATCATTTCACCAGATGCTGTAGAAAATTCTCGACGATTATAGAATCTAGAACCGTAGAGAGGGGGAGTACATTCTTGAAGGCACTTTGTTTGCACTTGACATGCACAACCTAGCGACATATTTGGACCCTTGCAGCACTCTCAGAATGATTTGTCTTCGCTTGGAACTTTCTGGCAGGTCACATCGAGACGGCGGTGCTTTTGTACCCCTGAGCTTGTGTTATTTATGTTGGTTCCAAGCTATACACTACACCTCGGTGGATGACTCTTTGATTGTCGGGAATGAACTGGCGGGATTGAAAGAATGAACCGCTGCATTTCATGTCCAGCGCACGTAGCGGCGGCCTGTGTAGCACAAACGGTCAAGGGCAATTTGAATTCAGGCTGTGCTATGATGTAGAAGATAGAGTTGGATATGGGGACTGGTCACCCCAATGTGCAACATTACGAAACATATGCAACACGCTTTCAATTTAAATCCGCAAGGGGCCGCGAAGCCATGTTGCCCAGCCGTGCCAGAAGTGCGGTTCAGTCTTCTTTGTCTCCATCCTGGCCGCGCAGCTGAAAAAGTTTGGTGTTGTGCTTGTTGTGTCAATCGAAATCTTCACATGTGAACCTTGCAGTGTTCAAAGGGGACTCTCCACAAGATTTTTTCAGCGCGTAGCCTGCCGCAAAGGACACGTGATGATGTGAAGACATGGTTGACCGCAGTTGGTTTCCCAGGGGCTCGTCTACTGTTGAAACTGTTGAAACTGAAGGTGCATCAAGCATTGGATTGAGGACAGCCGGCCTATCATCCCCATGAACTATTGAATTGTTTTGCCTGGCAGGTCGCTGCAGCTGCATGGCAAAGGAATGTAGATGGCAAGATGCTCCAATTCTTGGGGAAGGAAGGCTTGTTGTGAGCTCGCACAGCATTACAGAGCAACAAGGGGAAAATCTTTCATGACGGCGCCTGTTGTAGTTCCAGATTTTACCACCACATGGGGATGGTTTGGCAAGAGCTCAGAAGTCCAGCAGAGCAGCGAAGGTTGGCAAGAATTGGGTGTCAGCAGTGCAGTGGAGCGTGCCCGGATTATGAGTAACTTGCATGCACAAGATTTGCAACAGATGGCTTTCAGAGATTGCTTTAAGAGACGTGTGCAGTTCTTTTTGTGTCAAGAAGTGTTAAGCACAATCACTTTCCAGCAGTTGCTCGCGATCTCCCAGGTTTGACGTCAGAACAGTCAGAGACTGCCGCCGCAAACTCTAGAAGTTCGAGTGCCCCATCGAAACCGCAGAAGTTCCGGCGCGGAGCCATCGGAGCCATCGGAGCCATCGGAGCCTTGCAGCGTTTTTTTCAACTTGTTCGCAAGTTGGATGGAGCGATCTGGGCCGACCACAAGAAAGTTTGGTTCGAACACCTTGAACATTCTGGAAAGTCACCGGAAGAGTTCAAAGATTTCTTTTGCATGCAGCTGGACTCGTACAATTTGATGACCTTACTTTTGTTATCTGGAGTCTTGCCTACAGCTACAGGCATTTGTTCAGATATTGGCTGGGATGCTGATGGCTGGCCAGTGGACAAGGTAAAATTTGCATGCCTGATCTTCAGTATTGTTTATAGTTTGCTTCTCATTTTCCATGTAAGTTTGGTGCATTTGCTGCACTTGATGGTTTCTGGAGTAAGCGGAGCAAACTTGCCTATATTCTTGAAAGCTTTCGGCAATCAGTTGTTGAGTGAAGCTGGTGTTGGCTATGTGGTGGTTCTTTATGCGTTTGGTCCGTGGCTGCTCTTGTGTGGAGCGGTTTTCATGGTGCATGCCAATGCGGTGATGTGGTGCACCACATTTGCGTGTATTTTGTTGAGTTACGTGGCATACGGGCACCTTTCATCTTTGGTGAAAGATGACTTTGGAAATCGACCACGCTTGTTTGAAGGCTTTCAGGGTCGAGCAAAGGTTTTAGTACGCCTGCTCATTCACAGCGGTTTGTTTGGGCCGGAGTTGCCACTCGATCCAGCTGATTACACTCAAGACGAATTGCTGGAACGACTCGCGCAAATCAGTTTGGAGCAGCCATATGTTCAATCACTGAAGCCGGACTATGATGTTCTGAACGAGGACTGTAGGGACTTGTTGATTTCCTGTCATCCTGTTGCTTGAAGTCAATTCGCCCGCTTGATATTTCAGTGAAACCGAACTTGGTTTAATTGCTGCCTTGTTTGCGGGTTGGCAGGAGGAGACTGAATCGGAGACTTCTATGTGATGGAGAATTTAAAGAAATCCGCGGACATGCCACCTAGGTTTGTCCGTGTTTCCGCTATGTTTTCAACAAGGGGCGTTTAGCCAAAGACAGCATCGCCCATCGCTGGACGCCATAGAGCACCATCAGTTGACAATCGTCGCAGCATAGCTGTTTAATGCTGTTTACTACACCAAAAAGTGCCCCACCGGTCTTGTTGTGAGGACTGCTGTCTTGGTCGCTCTTGTTTGTCCTTGTTCTGGATGCCATAAGACCCTCGCAACTTTCCATTTGATTCTGATGACTTGCTAGTGTTACATACGGTCATACGTCTGACATTTGCATTAGCCGTTCCGTGGCATTTAGACAACACCTGGAGCAAATGAGCCGCAGGGTTGCTCATCACAGCTGGCATCGGAGTATTGCAGAACCACACGTGAGGCACCCACAGGCGGCTTTGCCAATACAGACGAAGCGTTGTCCCACAGGAAAATCCTTTGCAGAACATAAAGAGGTCCATGACAAGCTTTCAGCCATTTGAGATACTGTGTTAAATGTGTGTAAAGCATGATGTATAAATACATGAACAAACATATGGTAAGATGAATACTTAGAAAGAAAGAAAGAAAGGTAGACAAGATAAGATAAGATTAGGTTAGCTCAGGCTAGTTTTGATTAGATTAGATTGATAGATAGATAGGGTTCGATTAGATTAGACTAGTTGGATTGTCAGTGAGGTAGAGAGATAAGATAGTTAGATAGATTACTGTAGATAGGTATGTGAGTGAGATAAAGGTAGGATAAGATAGGATAGGATAAGAAAAGGTAAGGTAAAATAGATAGATCGATCGACAGATAGATTAGATAGATTAGATAGATGAGATAGATTAGATAGTTTAGATAGATGAGATAGATCAGATGGATTAGATAGTATCTTAGATAGACAGACAGATAGGTAGATAGATTGATGGGTAGATAGGTAGATAGGTTAGATTAGATTAGATTAGATTAGATAGGATAGATAGACTAGATAGATTAGATATTGTTAGACAGATTAGCTAGATCAGCTAGGTTAGCTTTAGCTAGATTATTTAGATTAGATCGATGAGATTGATTGGGTAGATGAGATAGATTAGATAGTTTTGATCGATCAGAAAAATCAGATAAGATAAGATTAGGTTGAGTAGCTAGATAGGGTAGATAAGATTGATAAGGCAGATCAGATAGATTAGATGGACAGATTAGATTATATAGATTAGGTTAGGTTAGGTTAGGTTAGATTCGGTTAGATTAGATTAGGCTTTATTTGAGTAGATTAGATTGGGTTAGATAGACAAGATAGAAAAACTCGATAAGATAGATAAGATAGATAAGGTAGACAAGGTAGATAAGATAGATAGGGCCGATCAGATCAAACAACAATGGATAATATAGATAAGATAGGTAAGGTAGAAAATACAGATGAGATAGAACAGATAGAACAGATAGAACAGATAGAACAGATAGAACAGATAGAACAGATAGAACAGATAATACGACAGATAAGATAGATAAGATAGATAACATAGATAGGATAGATAAGATAGATAGGGTAGATAGTATAGATAGGACACATAGGATAGATAGGGTGGATGGATAGTGGGACAGATAGATATACAGACAGCTAGATAAACAAGTATAAACAACACACACACATATATATATATATACATGGCTACATATTAAATTATGTCCACGCACATACGCTTGAAACCAAAACATTGTTTGACGCAAATCACAGAGACCAAACATGGCTTGAGACTTTCATGGCACAACGGTTTTGGTTGACGTGTTGTTTTAGTTTCTTGGCACTGTTGCGCCGAAAGAAGCAGACACATGAAAAACAACAAAAAACATGAAAAACAGACACGAACTTGAGATGTGAACTCACCTGCTGCGTGAAGATGTCGAGTTCCTGCGAGCTCAGCGATGAGCATTACATGAGACGGGCCCTGGAAGCAGCAGAGGAGGCAAAACAGTTGGGCGCCTTTGTCTTCAAAATCAGGGGTTTTCTTTGTTTGAGGTAGATAAGTTGCGCGACATTTGGGTATTTTCGGAAGGTCGGTTTCAAGGTGGACATTTTTTGAATCATTGAATGCTCTTCGTATCTCTTCGTGTGCACTTGCCCGACTTGCCTTGGCGACACCGAGGAGAAGTGGCTGTTGGGTGTGTCCTGGTGCAGCGACAGAGTGGGCGGATCCTGGCAGTTGGCCACAACGAAACAAATCGCTCTTGCAACGGTTGCTCGTTTTGCTCGTTTTGCTCGTTTTGCTCGTTTTGCTCGTGTTGCTTGTTGTGGTAGTTGATTTGCACACCCTTTCCCTTTGCACGTTGGGCCAAATTCTGCCAAATCTTGTAGATCATTCTTTAATCGTATTTGTTGCGGAAACCATTGGAAAGTCGGAGGGAATTGCTCATGTTTCCAAGGCACACGCCATTGTGAATTTGTAGCTTCTCAACAAGTTCTAGCCCAGGCAGCTTCCAAAGGATCTCTATGGGCAGCTGTGTCAGACACTGTCATTTCATGCAATTGGATGGCAACTTAGCTCCTTAGCTGCCGACATTTTTTCAGAGTCAAGTGTTTTCAAACAGCTTCAAACGTGCAGGCTGATGGTGCAGAACTGCTTCGAAATAGCCGGCTGTATGTGACCCTTGAGCCCTGCATTATGTGTGTCATTTGACTGCAGACAGCTGACCATGATCAGCCTATGCAACTTTAATGGCTTCAGAAGTCTGCCGTTGGAAAATTTCAAGACTTCTGCAGGCAGCAGCATTGCAGCTCTTGGGCGTGCCCGAAGTGGTCTTCGGTGCTGGAAATTCTCGATTTGGTGGATGTGGTGGCGTGTTTAATGTGCACAAGATGAAGGCCACCGAAAACCCAGGAGCTGGAAGACTTCAGAGCAAAACACCGGAAGACTCACCTGCTTATCCTGCTCCAACAATTGCAGATTGTAGGGACTGGTAGTGACTGGTAGGGACCTCGGAAAAGATAGGAGAGGTGTCCTCGACGCCTGGAAGAGAAGGAACTAGAAAAATCGTCAAGAAATGCATATCCAAAATGGCCACAAAGTACGAACGCTGCAACTTCAACCGTGCAAAGGAATCGCCAAGACTTTTTGAAAAGGTGCCCTCATAGCCCAGATCCTCATGAACTTCAGAAATTTGTAGGCAGCGTGCTGGACAGAAAAAACAAAATAGGCAGGAACCACAAAGTACCCGCCCGACCGGAAACCGCGCGTGGCGGCGCTAACATGTGTGAATAACCTCCATAATAGAAGGTGCGTCGAACGTGAGGTTTCGGCAGACTTGAATTGCGTTTTTTAATTTGTTTTTGTGGGAATTACATGGTCTTTTTTTTTCGAGCATTTCGTGGTGTGGAAATGATGTTGTTTTTCTGTCTTACATGTCCAAAAAACAGAGGCTGCAACGATTGCTGTTCAGTCATTTCCCATCATTTTCCCACGTCTGCCGCTCCAAATCGGGACTGTTTCAGCCAATCACCGCTTGGCGTGCAGCTTTTGCTGTGGTCCTCAACATGTTTTTACACACATTGATGTAACGCCACTGCCAACAGCGTGTTAACATAAACATAAGAACGCCAGCAGCGCACCATCAACAGCGTACTAACATAAACATAAGAAAGTCAACAGCGCACCATCTGCAGCGTGTTAACAGAAACATCAGAAAGTCAACAAAAAAACATCAAACGTGTGTTTAACATAAACATAGGAAATTCCCGCACGTACCATCAAGAAAATGTTCAAGTTCAAAAAAAAGAGTGAAGAGCGTAGAATCAACAGCGCGTTACGCGATAAGTTATGAAAATGAGCAGAAGACGTTCAAAAGCTTAACATGATAGGCGCGGTCAGAACGTTATTATCGCACCACCCCACCCCCAACCCCACCCACCTCACCCCACCCCCGAACCCCCCCCCACGTTCAAGTTGAAAAAGGAGTGAAGAGCGTAGCATCAAGTGCGCGTTACATGATAGTTTATGAACATGATCACAGAAAGTTTAACAGCGTAACATGATAGGCGCGGTGAGAACGTTTTAGCGGTGAGAATGATAGTTAGTATAACATTATGTAGCGTTAATTCGTGGAATCATGAAGGCGAAAAAAAAGGATGCAATGAAAGTCGACAACGAAAAATCCAACAAGTAAATGTTTTGTTTATAAATCCTTCAATCTTCATCGAACAACTGAAAACCAATTCCACCCTCGAATAAGTACTTCGTCTTTCTGTAGCAACACCCTGCTCCACACGTGGGAGAAGTTAAAAGAACTGCATCACTACACGTTCGGTTTTCGGTCCCCTAGCATAACATAAAGTAGATTCTAAAGTAGAACAACCGAAATTGATAATAAATCAGTGCTTTATGATGTGAAACTAATGCCCAAAGGGAGATATAGTCGTAGTCGTAGACAATGCAAATGAAAGATTGTGTGACGTTGAGTCAGAATACTAGAATGGATTCTCTTGGAAGTAAGGGAGTAGGATTCGGATACAAAAGCCATCCTTCAATAGAAATGGAAACTCAAGTGCCAGGAGGCCCCTGCTCTTGTGCAGATGCAGCCCGACCAGCTTTGAAAGGATTCCATTGCCGTGGTGGTGTTCTGGCTGAGGACCATGAAATCATGAAAAGAACAAAATGCCATGGGCGAGTCATGGCGAGTCTAGTTTTGTAGGCAGACCTGGCAGACACTACAACTTAGCTCTTTCAAAATCTTCCAGGAGGCTGTGAAACTTCTTCAGGTCACTTGGCTGACTTGGCTATACGGCTATACGCAAGAATAGGCAAGCAAACAGAAATTGGGCATAGAGAAACGCAGAGAAACGGTACATCAAGTTGTTTGACTGTCACAGTCTGATTGTCTGAAAGTTACTCCCCATGCAGCTTGGATCTTACCGTCTTCAGTTTCCTGTTCTTTGAAAGTTGCCAGCCTGTCCAAGTGGCACAGACTGGCCGCTTGGCCACAAAGCGAAGCTCAACCGATCTCGAACAAGTAAACTAAGTAAACTAAGTAAACTAAGTAAACTAAGTAAACACCAGAAAAAACACCAGAAAAAACACCAGAAATAGCAGCAGCATGGCCACAGTGGCCACAGACCCATAGATTCCCCAGGTGTCAGGTCAAAAGGTTATTGCCATCCGACTGTCAACTCAGGATTTCTATCGTTCCGGAAACCCAAACGCGCCGGATCTGAAGCGACATCGGCCACTAGAGCCAGAAGCAAAGCCAGAAGTCAAAGACATGGATGGTGCAGATGCGTGCGAAAAGTACAGAACTGTTTGGGAAAGCGTTGGGTTTGCAGATGAATGCGAAAATTATCAAAATATAACACATTTGACTATCATCAGATATAACACTTTGCTAACACGACTGTCAGACTGATGGCTAGAAGTCTTGGGATGTCTTGGGGCATCCGCCAGGGCAGAGAGAGGGTTTCCTCTCAGAGTTGGGTCGGGTGCCCCATGGTGCCCTGCTTCTGTTGATAAGTTGCACTTGTTCTGAGAACTGCAGGACCATCCTTTGAATTGTATTTCTTGAAGGCATTGAACTCATTGAGAAGACATCATATTTAGATGTCATACAAGATATCGTACTCTACGTTGTCTGGGCCTCTTTCCGGCTCAAGATGCATGAAATTAGGAGTTGTGATATAGTCACAAGTAAAACTCGTTGAGCCTCAAGCCTCATCAGGCGATAGAGGGTTTGTTGAGGAGTTCAGAAGTGGAGCTTCAAACCCTCAACCGCCAGCAGCTTCAGCGCCAGCTTCAACAAGCTGACCATCACGCTGACCATCGTGACCATTGTGAGCATCGCGAAGATGGGATCCGCATGCAGTTCCACGGAGGTGTCTACCCCTGAGATGCCCACAGTGAAAATGTGGGTCATCAAGGTGACAGACTTCTTGAAGATGGACATTCCCATGCCTTCGCACGAAAGGTGTCTTGAAGCTGGGCTGCTGCATCGTTGGGAGAAGACCTTCTTTTGCATCTTCGTGTCCCACCAGTGGTTGGGAACACGCCATCCAGATCCCAAAGGGAAACAGTTCCAGATTTTGCAGAATGCTTTGAGGAAGATCCTTGATGGTACTTCAACTGTGTCACGAGACATTGCCTCAGAGCTCTATGGTGACACCAAGAGGTTTACAGATGAAGACCGGTCTCGACTGCAAAATGCATATCTGTGGCTTGATTGGCTCAGCGTGCCACAAGCTCCGGTGAAGATCTCTCAGGTTTTTGACAGAGCTCAGACTGATGACTTGGACCCAGCGGTGAGGTCGTTGAGGACGACGCACAGGGTCGTTTTAGAGAAACGGGGAAGCCTCACGACGCAGGATGTCCATATACTTTCCATTCCTACCTTCGTGCAGCAATCAGATGTTTTCCTGGCTCTGGTTCCAACATTGCAGCACGAAGATACTGGTTTTCCTGTCAACTTCGTGAGTTGGTTCGACAGGGGTTGGTGCAGGATGGAAATGTGGTGCAAGATGTTATCAGAGAAAGCCAGCAGTGCATCAATGCCGATGATTGTAGTTTCGGGTCCAGACCGGATCATGCTTGAAACGCCACTTCACTGGATTGATCGTCCGCCGCATGAGGGCAATGTGACCTTTGAAGCAGACCTGGATGTGATATTTTCTGTGATGCAGCACCTGCTTGACCAACGGTTGAAGTTTCTTGCTGGACAAGGCAGAAGCGACAGCTACGACTACCTTTTGGCAAGGTATGAGGCAGTGTTAGGCCTACCAGTGCATGAGAGATCTTTGGAAGACTTCTGTGTTCATTTCGGTTTCGGCTCGGTGGAGTCGGCCAGAAAGTCCACAAGAAACATTGGACCAATGGCTTGTGCAGTGGCATCTGGAGACGCATCTATGATCCACGCCCTGGCTGAAGTAGGCGTGTCTCCAAATTTGCATTTGAAGCCGGTGCTTGATGTTCGAATCATGTCAAGCCTGAGCATTATCCATCTGGCTGTCGATGTCAGCTGGAGACAGCCAAGAGTTCTTGAAGCCCTTCTTGCAGTGAAAGCCGATCCGAACACGCATGATGACCTTGGCTACCCCGTCCTTGGCTTTTGCCGGACAACACGGGACGTTGAATTGCTGGTGCGTCATCGTGCCGATGTCAACCGAAGGAACTATCCATCGAATCAGCTGGCAATCAGTGTAGCCTGTGAATATTGTGCACCACCACAGGTTGTGTCGAAACTCTTGGAGTGCGGCTCCCTAGTGAATCCTGTTGGCGGGGGTTGTGGCCTTGGTTGTGCCCATCCACTGAGCTTTCTGAGTATGTGGGCATCAGCGAACCGCCATTGCTTGGAGGTGGCCCAAGTACTTCTACATGCTAGGGCAGATTTGAATCAACAGTGCGTTGCCAGCGGGCGGTGGCGTGCTCTTGAGCTTGCAAGTCGGGCCTATCTTCGATTTAGTGCGTCCTCTTCCATGCTGGTGCAATACTATGCAGAGTGGAGCACCACGCCTTTGGGCATGGCTTGCTTTTTTGGCAGTGAAGACCTCGTATCCTTTTTCTTGGAAGCTGGAGCGGACCCAGACATTCCAAACCTGCGTGGCCACACTCCCATCCACTTAGCCAGTACCCAACGAATTGTTGAAATGATAGAGAAGCATCAGTCTGAGACGGCATCGACCTTTTCCATTTAGCATCCATTTAGCTATTTGTGCCACAATAGGTGTGGATTCAGCGCCTACAGGTGCTGCAGTGTTTCAACCGTCGCCAAGCGACAAAGACTTTTGGCTCCATCAGAGCCCTTCTGGCATTGTCAAGACTGGGTGCACTGAACATATTTGGACATACAACATCGGTATACATCATACAGCCATCACCAAATCACCAAATCTGGGTTGGGAAGTTGAGCATTTTGACATATGCCGCATATGATGCCTAATTGTACGTTTCTTCCGCATAGCCACCCCTCGTCCGGAGGGGCGTACCTCATCACCAGCAGAGCTGTTCAAAACGGGTGCTGGAAGAGGTATGACTGTGGAAATCTGTGGAACATTGCATATGAATTATAATGAAGCATATGAATTTTGTTTATGCTTGACTCTTTACGAGGCTTCTTATGATACCTACTGCCTGACCAGGTCATGCAACTGGCGGCAGTCTTCAGGCCTGTTGGACAGGAATAGATCGCATGTAGAACAAAGGCGAGCGTTTTCTCTCGCAAATTCATTTCCTGTCCAACTTGTGAGCAGTTTACTCAGATTATTGCCAGAGTTACTTGAAGTTGCTTGAATCATTGAACTTGCATGTGTCCTGATTGGAATGTGTTGTGACTTGGTCATTTTGCCGATCGAAGCTGGAGCTCGCAGAGCTCAGAGGTAGGACGTCCCGAACTCGTCCGAACTCGTCGGTGTTCCGTCCCGATCTCGTCCAATGAAGAGCGCATGGAGCGCATGGAGCGCATGGAGCGCATGGAGCGCCAAGGCCCTGGTCCTGACGGCACTTTGGCTTTCCATCGGGGAAGCTGCCCTCACTGGTGACACCCTCAGCTCAGGGTCGCCTGTTGCGAAGATTGTGGAGATGTTGAAAGATATGTCATCAAAGTCAGACGAAGATGGGAAAGCAGAAGAGGAGACCTTTTCGAGCTTTAAGTGCCACAGCACGAAGGTCATTGAAAGCAAGGCAACCAAGATGTCTGATTTGGAAGAGCTCAGCTTGTCTCTGGAAAACAAGATCGAGAAGCTCACAGCTTTAAAGGGTGAGCTTGCATCCAAGGCAGTGTCAGTGAAGAAGGACTTGGAAAAAAATGATGAAACAAAAAGGGAGGCTGACAGCACCCGTGAGAACAGTCACAAGAGCTTTCTCTCCAGCGAGAAGGAGATGCCTACAAACCTGAAGACTTTGAGTCAAGCATTGACATCCTTGAAGGAAACAGAGAAAAAAAGTGCAGCTACAGAGTTGTTGGCCATGTCTAGCAACGCAGAGCTTGCTGCTCTTGGAAGGCAACTGCAGGAAGTGCAAAACCCTCCAGCTTCAAATCCTTTTTCCAAAGATTTCCTTTCTCCAAAGGATGGTCTTGCCCTGCTAGGTGGGGCTCCAGGCAATTACGAGTCCCAAAGTGGTGGTGTCTTGGGTGTGTTGACGAGCACCAGAGACACCTATGCCAAAGACTTGGAAACCCTGCAGCAGACCGAAGCGTCGCAGAAGGACGCCTTTGACAAAATGACTGCCACACTTCTCTCGGAGAAGAAGGAACTCGCAGAGTTGTTGCGAATCACCGAAGCCAGCAGAGCAAGTACTGAGGAAGAGATTGAGACCAGGAAGTCTCAGCTGAAAGAAGCCAAGGAAAACCTAGCAACTGAAACAGATCTCAAAGCACAAGAAGAAAAGATGTTGGCTTCCAAGACTGCAGTCTATGAGCAACGAAAGAGTCTAAGGTCAGAAGAAGAGACAGCTATCGCACAAGCCATTGCTGTTTTAAACAGCGATTCTTCCTTCGCAACTTTCACAGCAGTGAAGACAAGTCCGAGCTTTTTACAGCTTGGTCGCTCAACTGGACTTGCAAAGTCTGTTTCTCGAAGGGGCCAGGCAATCCAGTTCTTGAGGGAGGAGGCGCATGCTAGAAGTTCCACGAAGCTTGCTCATTTGGCTGTACTATTGAGCTCGGAGTCAGCAAATCCATTTGGCAAAGTTCTGGGCGAGATTGAGAAGATGCAGGAGACAATTGTTGCAGAGGGAAAGGCTGACAGGAAGAAGTTTGATTGGTGTGCAGCTGAAAGGGCTAAGAGCAAAGAGTCCAAGAGCGACAAGGAGACTCAAATTGGAAGCTTCAAAGCAGTCTCCGCCTCAGCAACCTCATAGCTGTTTGTGCATCCTTGTGTCCGATGTCAAGAATCCAACAGGATGTAATCCTGATGTTGATGATAGATAATTGGCATCTCATACTCAGAATATCTCAGAATATTATCATGACATTTCATGACATGCATTCAGCCCCTATAACACTATGACCATCTATGCATAACCCCACCAAGGAACTGCTGGAGCTCAAGGGAACTCTCACAGGCCCAGTGGATGGCTTGGAGGCCACCCTAACCAAAGCTGAAGAAGATCTCAAGGAAAACGAGGCATTGGTGCTGGGGAGGGGCCGGGCGCACGGTGGGGCAGGGTGGTGTGATGCAGTGTGATGCAGTTCAGCTTTGCATTTTGCTTCACTTCGTTGGCAAACCAGTGGCGTTATGTTGAGCATTTGGCTGAACACTATTCACTATGCACTATGTCGTGCACAGGAAGATCAAGAGAAGGAAACAGCAGATCGGAAAAAGGAAAACAAAGAGTACCAGACACTTTGCTGAAGATCAATAATAAATTATGATATCTTGATCAGGGAGTCATTTGAGTGCTCTTGGAATCCTTGTTTTATGATAAGTTATTTGCTCTATTTTGCTCTTCTTTCTCAAGGAAGAACATCGCGAACTTGCAGAACGCCCAGGGCCTGGTTGACAAGGCAGGGGGGAGCCTCTCTACACCTCGCTGTCCAGTTTGAACAGCTTCAGTCACTATATGTCACTATCACTTGCCAGTGCCTTTCTAGACCTTCGTCAATGCCTTTGAAGGCACTCTCGGTACTGAAGAAGTTTTATGCCAAGGTTGCGTTGACGCAGGCCTGCTTGCTGACTGAGTGCTGTTAGTGGCGCTGCCCGGTCAAATCACACCCCAGCTCGACATGTTCGTGCTGCAAAGTCAGGTGAAAAACCAAGCAAATGAGCAAGCTGCAGAAGACCCTGAGTGAGCCACATAGAAATGTTGTGACAGCTTATTTGCCTTCTGCATCCAGCTATGCCACATCCAAATGATGACAATGAGTGCCAGCATCAGACTGTTACGGATGGCTCACATTCATGACCTTGTGAGAAACACTTGGGCTGGTGTAATAGCTACGATATATTACGATATGCAGTTCACAGGATCTCTGACATGACTCAATGACCGCGACATGAGTGCAACGTCGCAACTTGAGGTACGACGAGGGTGACTTTAAAGGGCAAGCAAATGGTGGCAAAGTCCAAGAGCTTCTGAAGGCCGTTTTGGATGATACCGCGAAAGAGGAGGCCGATGCTCACAAAGCGGAACAGGACAGCTGCTCAGAGAGGTGCCGAAAGAACTCGTGTGTATTCAACAAGAACATACAAGAACTCAAAAATACTCAAAGACAGGTCAGACGAAAGTCAGACGAAAGTCAGACGAAAGTCAGACGAAAGTCAGACGAAAGTCAGTCAAGTCAGATCAACAACAGTCCCTTGGCATCGAGCAATCTTCTCTAGACAGCCACAGCAGCAACAAGTTTCACAGCACCCTCAGGTGGGAAGTTTTTCCTATGTTTAAGTGTAGTCCGATTTCACCGATTTCAGCTGGTGCTTCCACCCATGATCGCCTTTCCTTGTTTTATCATCTGGGGTCCTAGACTTCTTGCACATGCATCTATGCATCGTTTGGTCCAGTGTTTTGTATTGTTTTGTGGTCTTCAGCGTATCGTTGGTGTTTCTTGTCAGTGAACCCTCCTCCGAATGTGAGGACGCTCAGATAGACTTCGAGGATCGCTTGGCTTTGCTGACAAGGTGGGGGGGTGGAGGCTAGCTGAAGATGCAAATCGCAAAGTCGAAAATTCCACACGTAGAGAGGAACAAACCTTGGTCCATTCTTGTACCTTTCTTATCCTTTAATTGGGTTTTGTATCTTTATTTTTTTGGTCGTTCTTGAAGTTGCCTTGAAGCCTCCAGACTGTCATCTTCCTTTCAAGCGATTATAGTAGTTTTAAAACTCAGACTAATATGAAAACACTACATTATATATCCATTGTATCCATGTCGATTTGTTCATGTCAATTTTCATGATTGTCATGTGTATGTTTCAGGTCAGCGGAGGAGCTGGGGAAGACAATTACTGACACACAGAAAGCGATTGCCGACGCCAAAGTCAAGGTCACTGAGAACAAAGAGATGAAAGCAGATGCTGAGAAGGAGAAGAAGTCAATCGAAGAGTACTTGGAAGATATCAAGCCGCAGTGTGACTTTATCACCAAGAACCTGGATCAACGCAAGGCCAATCGTGCAGGTGAAACAAAATCACTTGAAAAGGCTATTGAATTAATTAAAGGAACTCCAGCCTACAAAAGCCTGGCCTGAGCTTAGCCACTGAACATGCCAGAATGTGCCACAATGCTCCACCCCGAGCAGAAAATGCGTTTCTGTGGTTGCGTTTTGGGGAGGGTCGACAGATGGCGACAACATGTATTGAGGATTTGGCGATTTGGCATGGTTTGGCATGGCTTGGCATGGTTTGGCTGTGGAGTGCCTAGCATCGCCACCACTTGCAATTGCAGGTTGCTGATTGGTGCCCAGGACCCCCAGGACCTACAATTCCTGTTTGGGGAGTCGCTATGGTGGAGCAGAGCACTTGTATCCGCTTGTGCCTATTTGATCTATTTGTGCCTGTACATGCATCACACTGACATTTTTGTTGTGACGTGATGGCTCTTCTAGGATGACGCCCAAAACACAGCACAGAAATTCAAAGAATGAAGGACAGGAGGAGACAATTAATCACCAAAACACACCAGGCAGCTACAACTTTGCCAAAAAAAGGACAGATTTCCTGACATCGGATTGACTTGTAGCCCGATTTCGCCATGGGTGCAGCTTTATCCAATTCCGGCCTTGCTCTATCTGCATTGTGCACAGTGATAGGTCTTGGAGCTTGGGCAGTGCTTTGGTCACTTGCCCACTTTGTGCAGGGTCGGACTGACATGTGGACTAGCATGACACCAATGACTTAGGTAAAACCAGGTATGAATAACTACGATGCTCAGTGTAAAGGGCTGCTGTGCCATGATGAATCTGGGTCTAATATCTGAACTGCCAATTGTCGAGGATAAATTCGTTTACGAACTGTATGGTATAAATTGGTATAATATACAATATGTATATATTACATTATATTACATGATATTGTATGTATATTTGTATGGGGATGAATGGTTTGCTTTCTATTGGGTCAATTGCTTTTGGCATGGTTCCTTTGTCTCAGGCTGAAGCGGCGATCAACAGTACTTCCTGATGTCAGCGTGCCAGAGGCTACCATGGCTTTCGGGTTTGGAAGTAAATTCGAAGTAAATAGATGAATGAAACGAATGACATATTGAAGTAAACTGCTTAATTACTGTAATTTACGGTAGTTCATTGGTCCTCCAGCATCATAAGCCTTGTAAAAGCACCAGATCCAATGCTCGGGAAAGCTTCCGACCGGTGTCTTGCGTTTGTTGACCTGCTGTGCAGCAGCTTTCCCTTTGAGTTTTGAAAGTTGCCCTGCTGTGAGGCTTTGTATGCTATGACGTGTCCTGACTGGGATACTTAAATGTTTCCCAATTATGTCTCAGATAATTCATTCTTCAAACCCTGGGCGACTTTGCAGTGCTGCTCTTTTGTTTTTTTCCAAGGCGAGGGAAAGAGCGCTTCAAGAGAGCTGCATGTGCAAGAGCCCTCTGCAGCATCATCAATGGCGAGGCGCTTTCGGGGATTTGGGGGCCATGCTAGGTGATCCAGTATGATCCAGTCAAACATGTCCAATATGTCCAATATGTCCAATATGTCCAACCGAAACTATAGAAATTCAGTCAACATACAGCATGAAACAGCATTATGACATTCATTGACACTCTATTCTTGTTCATATTTGTTCATATTCGTTCAAGGTGTTTATTTGGTCTTTATCTCTGTTTATCTCTGTGTTTATCTCTGGTTCAGTTCCTGGATCCGGTCAGGTGCAAGTCTTGGAAGAGGTTTTGGACGAGTCGCAGGGGAAGCATCCAGAGCAGCTTGGCGCCATGGCGCGGCAGCTGTTGAATCTGTTGAATCTGTTGAATCCATGGAGCCATGGCCAATCGGATTGTAGGCCTGAGCAGCTGAGATAGTTCAGATTAGTTCAGGTTTGGTGGTGTGCTGCCTGATGGCCGGGGCCTGCTTTCCGTGGCTTGTTTGCAACATGGAAATTTGAAATTTGATGGTACAGTCATGAGATTTTCTACTCTGTCTGCCGTTCCTACCATCAGTATCCATCAGTCTTAAAGAGTTCCCCAACATGCACCGAGAACCTCTGCCACCTCGCGCACAGGTGACTCTTGATGATTTGGCCGCAACTGGGCCTGCCAGTGAAACCGAGGTCTGGTTGAAGTGAAGGCTTCAAACACCTTAAAAACACCTTAAAATTATGTCATGGATTTGCCATGGATTTGATTGGCTGCTGCAGTTTTTTCCTTCACCAGGCTTTTGCTGACCTACTGCTGGCGTGCACGGCCTTTGATGTGCCCTGGCGTCAAGCTGGTGACGTCAGGAGTTGTGTTTCCTCAGCTTTGTAGTATTTTAATTATTTTGTAATGATTCTGATTATGGTGTCGGGTTTTGTACTGGACTTCACTTTGGCGCTGATTTTTTATCTGCAGTATTGAGGCTTGACGACATCTGCAGTTTGCTTCAAACATTTCACCTTTGCCGCCTTTGCCCTTGCTGCCCTTGCTGCCCTTGCTGCCCTTGCTGCCCTTGCTTCCACTTCGCCACTTCGTCACGTCGCCACTTCGCCACTTCGCTTTGTCAGGCGGCCTGGGATGAGACAGATGAGTGGAACGCGTTGACCATGAAGGTTGTTAAGCACCTGAAGTCCAGAGCTTAAATTCATTAAATGCAGATGCTATGCAGATGCTTTCAGAAGTGCTTTCAGAAGATTGTGCTATCACACTGGATGTGCACAAAATACGGCAGAAGCACTTTGGAATGGAAATCTTGCAGGGATGATCTGCATGCACTGGATCGGATTGCAGTCCTGGAACGACAAGCTGCTGGGTCGGTTCTCCAAAAGGCGATGGGAATCTTCGATGTCGGCAGATGTCGGCAGATGTCGGCAGATGTCGGATGTCGGCAGTGTCGAAAGCAAAAGTTTGAGCCGCTCTGAGCTCAGGCGGCAGTCCTGCGGCAACGTTTGCATGGAGATCGTTGGGCGCTTAGTCGAGGCTCTGGAATGTCCTAAGCATCTTCGAACTTCAGTTGCTACTTGCCATCACTTGCCATCACTTGCCATCGCTTGGCGACCTTGGCTTCTCTAGAAAAAAACTGGGGACTTTGTCAGCCTGAGGAACCATGAAGCCCGAAAGTCTCGAAGGCAGACGTAGCTTCGGCAAAAGCACCTTTAATCACCTTTAATCACCTTTCCAGTACTCCCAGGGCGAAATTGAAAGCCATTCGATTCTCTCGGCAGGTTCAGAATGCTTGGACGTGCCAATGATGCTGTCCATGAACACACGTGTCCAGTGCCAAAGCTGCATTTGGAAAACCATGGAAAACCATGGAAAGCCCTTCAAGATCCTTCAAGTGCCTTCAGCCGTGTCAGTGTGAATTTCTTGGAGCCTTTTTTGAATCTGTGAGTCCCTGTGTCTTCGATGTGCCATCAGGTGTCCAGTTTGTATGACTATGCGCACGGACTTGGTTCGTTGTCCAACCTGCCGCAATGTTGGCTATTGCAGTCTGGGCCTCGGCTGATTCGACTTGGGATTGGGATTGAGCAACTGTTGGGCATTGAAAAATCTGAAGCACCTACTGAAACACATGTTTGTGGCAGCTGAAAGCAAGGATGCAGTTGTAATATCTTGTGATGATGTATGGAATGTCTTTGGGTGTGTTGTGTCATAAGGTGCCCGACACCTGCAAGCAGACGTAGATCGGCACCAGTTCTGGTGCAACTAGTTGTCATCAGTGATAGGGTTAATGCAGTTAATGTCAATGTCATCAAAGAATGGCACCAAAGGGAGGGGAACAGGTCCCAGAAAAAAGTGGCCCGTTGAAAGCACTATTCCGTTTGCATATCGATGCCAGTGCTTACCATGCTTTGTGATGCTGCGGAGAGTGGCCGAGTGAATGGATGTGCAGCATGCAGGAGCCATCAGGACCGAGTGCTTGCCCCGTGGGCTTTTTGGGCCTTGTCGTCCCTGTGCCTCGGATCTCTCGGTCCGAGCCTGATGACATTTATATTCTGCAATGAGATTTGAAGAGATTCGAGTCGATCTGAACATGCCACATGCCACATTTCCACGGATCCCACCAGGCAGCATTGGCTCAAAAGAAGCCCGATTTGCCGAAGCCGCCCATCACATTTGACGATTTTGTGGCCATGGCCTGCCGCTTTTGTGCTCGTCGTCGGAAGGCTTCAGATATTGAGGCGTGACCCTCAGGTAATCAGGTAGTCATCAGGTAGTCGGAGGCCACACAGAGGTTGCGCAAAGACTGCAAAGGAGGTCATTCTTCAGTGCAGTGTGGCATGGCAGTGTAGTGTCCTCTGAGGAAACTTGGACATACATGGACATACTGTATGTGAAATACATTGAAATACTCTTCCTCCAGCCTGACTTTTTCCAGGTGTTACGCCAAGATATCCAGCAGGGCAAGTCTGAAGGCGAAGTCGTTCCTTGCCAAATCAGGTCATTCCGAGTGATTTCCTTCTTTTCTTTCTGCATTAAAGATATTAAAGCTATAGTCAGTGCATGTCAGTGCTAAGCATAGAGTAATCCAATGGAATCCTGGTGGGGGTGCAGTGCCATCCCCGTTTTCTGAGGCATTGGCGACGGCAGGTTCCCATACTCGAAGTTCAGGCCAGTCGCTGTCTCCAAGTCACACACTGCCAGCACATGCCACCACTATCCGCCACAAAGACTCCATGAGGCCTCCGAGATTTGAGTGAAGAAGCCACTTGTCGAACATTTCACCGGACAATGCAGGACATCGTTCAGAAGGGATGCGCATGTGGAAATCGTTCAAGGCAGTGCAATGTTACATCTCCTAGTCGCTTTTTGCTGTGTTTGGCATGGGCGCTTCACAAGTTTCGAGCTTAATCACAGCTAAGGTACTCTCATCCGTGTTTCGTTGCATCTCAGTTGCAGATCAATCAAGACTTCAACATGCAGAAATATTTTAAAAACCAGTAGTCATACCAACACACGCACACATTGACATACGACCTCAAACCCATATCACCTTTGTGCCTATAATGTATCACATGCGCGTACCAACATGTGCATACCAAGATATACCAAGATATAGCAAGACTAAATGCACAGGTTTGTATCACTGATTGAGTATAGCCGCTCATGTTGGCTCATGTTGGCTCATGCACATAGCGATGTCAGAGATGTCTGTCATTTAGGAAATTTCTGTGGATAGCTGTGGCAATTTCTAGTCGACTCAGTCGACTCAGTCGACTCACTCGACTCGACAGTCTGAGGTCTCCGAGCTACAGAGGTGCTGACCTCTTTGGAGCCGTGCTCCAAATTTCTGCAGTCCATCCTCGGAGAGCCGAAGCTTGGAGAAGACTTCAAGGAAGATCAAGTAAGGAACGGAAGGAACGGAAGAAACGGAAGGAAATTGACTTTATTATAATACTTGTATGAATATTATGAATGTTCAAAGGCTTATGTACAAAGACTTACAAAGTGGAATGCGTTGACATGGACACATATGGACACACGATGACACATGTAATTCACACGTATGTGGAGGAGATGACACCCTGTCTGAAACAATTTTGCCGGTGTTTGAAGTTGTTCTTGCTCAGGGATTCCCTGTGGACGGCCTTTCTGGCACAGGACCCGTGCTAGAAAGTCATGTCTAGGGAGAATCAACGAGGAACATAATGGATGATATGGATGCACAACCTGACAACTAGTTTGGCAAAAACCTTAGGGTGGCCCTGGATGTTTCTTGTTGCTTTCCATCGCTTGGGTCACTTGAAATGAAAGAACATTTTCATGAAGTCTTTCCGCAGTCTTTCCGCAGTCTTTCCGCAAGCGTTTGACGCAGGAATTCCCCGGTGAAGGTCGGAGCCTCCAGAGCTGCGCCGACAAGGCTCCGAAGTGGCTGTACCGACAGCTGATTCAACGCAGGCTCTGCGACACTGTGGAGTGGCGCCAAGTGCCGCTTCCACGGTCCAACCTCGGGGCCAGAGAAGGATCGCCTGGAGTGTTTTACAAACACGGCTACGTCTTCATGTTTGGAGGATGGGGCTTTGGTCCCATGAGAGATCTTCATGTTGCAGCCTTGCAGACACCTATGCACTTTCAAGAGGTGATGGTCCAGGGTAGTGGCCCTGCACCAACCTATGAAGCTAAGACAACCGTTTTGGAGGATGCGAAAGACTTGGATGGAGACAATTCTGGCGTGTTTCGGGTGATAGTGACGGGAGGATGGCGCCATGGAGGTCTTGTGCTTATATTACTTTATGATGTGATTTTTTGGTCACCTCTTGTACTGAGTTTGCAAATTAGTTTGCTTGGGTATCAGTCTGTGGTGAAGTCATGTGAAGCCTGAGAGTCGGGAGATGTCATGAGATGTCGGGAGTCTGAGGTTACTATGAGGAAAGTGGCATGTATGGCATCATGGAGATTGACTGCCGTGACGGTGCCGTCAAGGCTCGATGGGTCAGAACGGGATCTCAGATGCCCAGAGCCAATCACAGCGCAACTTACGTCCCTCCCAGCATTGCCGGCCACCTCTACCCGGATGGCTACCTGCTGGTTTTCGGTGGCTGTGTGAATGGTACGAACTCAAATGCTATGAGTCTCCTCGACTTCTCAAACTATCACTGGACTGAGATTGACATGGGAGCTTCCTCGCCAGAGCCGCAGAATTCACATAGTGCCACCCTGGTATCATGCACTGTTGGCAGTAACGGGAGCAAGAAGTTGGAGTATGCCATTCTTATCTTGGGAGGAGGTGGTGGTGATGCCAGTAACGGTGGGCCTCCTCGTGGTGGTCGCGACTTTGTTGCTTCGGAATATTGGTTGTGTGGCTTGGAGGGTGCCCAGTTTCGGTGGGAAGCCCATCAGAGCTCAGTGGGGCCGGGAGGTCGTGGCCACGTGGCTGTGAGGTTATCAGGGACTGACACGGTGGTGATGATGGGTGGTGGCCGACCGCCTTTGCAGCGCACTTGTGCTGTGACCACTGGAATTTCTGGAATCACTGGAAATCGTGCAAGGGTGTTGGAATGTAAGACTAAAGGGCCTGCAGCCCGCGCCTTTGGTGGTGGTTGTGCTCTACCTGGTGGTTTAGCTATGGTCTATGGCGGCTGGCATCCTTGCAAAGGCACCTTTTCTGATGTGTGGGTTGCCTGCTTCGATGACATTGGCCGCAACTCCGCTTTCTTCCAGCAGCTGCCAGCTCCGGATGTTGAAGCTGAGGAACCCGAAGAGTCTGGTGATGAAATGGCCTTCAATCTTGTGATTCGGAGGCTGTTTCGGCAGATGGAAGGCGAAGGGCACGAAGGGATGCGAGAAGGGCTGCGCTCGGGTGATGAGGATAGTGACAGCGAGGAAGAGGAAGATGAGAATGACGAGAGCTCGGAAGACATGGACGGGGACGGGGCAGAAGCCCCAGCTCCAGAGGAGAGGGTTCTGATATGTTCTGATATGTTCTGATACAATTTGGGAATAATTAAAGATGAATAAAGTAGGGTGCCAATAGGATGCCGGGGGAACTCATGTTCATTGGTTTTTGCTCTCACCAACTGGTAACTCCGTATTTGATAAAGGTTACCTGAAGAATCCTGAAAATCAGGACCTGCAAGACTTGATGGATGACCTTGACTCTTCGGCTCCATTGGTAGAGTCCAGCGATGAAGATTCCCCCAGCTCTCGCCGAAGCGGCCAAGATCCAAGGCTGTGAGGCTGTGTCACTGATCGATTAAAAATGACAAAAAACGATTAAACCCAACATAAAAATGTTAAAGCCTGAAGGATCTGAAGGCGCAAGCTCCTGGGAATTTCGCTGCATCTTGGACTTTTCCGCAGCCAAGTGGCTGCCCGCCGTGAAAGCGGCATGTACATAACAGAACCAATCATGAACTTCATCATGAACCAGTAGTCAAGTGATTACAGTGATATTTTGATATTTCATATGGCACCTATGTGCCTTGACTCTACATCTTCGATATGCTGCAAAGAGGCTGCACGTCAGCTTTGGAACACTTGTCAAACAAAGCGAACAGCTAGATATGATAGATATGGGTGGTGAGAACAGCTTGAGAAAGTGAAATACCTTCTGAGGTTTTGTGAATGCAGATTCCAGATGCTTCGCACTTTTGCCCGTCTTTTTTGGTTCAAGAAAGCAAGTGGGCCCAAACATCCTTTGGGCAACATCTCGAGTCTTCTGTGGACTTCTGTAGGCGAGTGGTAACCCTCGTCTGCTCAGCTAAGAAAACCCAGCAAAGCGTTCGTTCTGTAGCCTACCATGGCGCTCCCTTTGACAGCATCGCAGACCCTCGAGGCTGTCTACAACTCGTTGGCTCCGTTATGGGTGGAGCTTTCCTTCCTGTTTTTCTTCTCCATGGGCTTTTTCTATCTCCGTGCCGAGAACTTTCGCAAAGGGAAGAAGTTTCAAAAAGACGGAACTTCAAGGGTGAAGGGCCTTGAGCCACAGTTCCGTGCTCCGGTGCCTCTGCTGAAGTTGGCAAATTTATTCGTCCACGCATTGACATTCCTCGAACGGATGTAGTATCATGACGAATTTCTTTTTTCAGGTTTCCCTGTTAGCCTGCATAGTCACTAGTCCCAATTGCTTCTAGCTTCCAATCCATTCTTTTTTCTGGCATTTGGATGCATTTGGCACCAGCCTCATTTGAAGAAAAACTTGGGGTGGAGTTCTCATCAACCTTCAAACCCATCTAAATATATATATATAATATCTAAATCAGTCTAAATCCATCCAAATCATCCAGATGTATCCAAATCTTTCCTCTTTGTGACCCTGTGTCTTTTTCTCCAAGGTTCGCAAGACACTTGAAGCCGAAGCCGCTGCAGGTAACGCCTCCAAACTTCTGGAAGCATGGCGAACCGAACAGAGCAAGGCACCCACACCGAGACTCGGTGAGAAGGGTTGGACATGTTGGACATGTTGGACATGTTGTACGGATTTGGACGGACATTTCATGCAGATCATATCAGATCATGCAGGTTTGTTCGATTTTGTTCGTCCAAATGGATCCTTTTCGCCTGCAATACGTGCGTATATCGTGCGTATATAATATGTGCACACACACACACCACGCGCATAGTACTTCCTGCCCTCAAATGAACACATTGCATCAGATTAGACAACTTCACTTTGGCATGTCATGCCAGCCGTAGATGTCCATAATTTGTTCTTCACTTGCTGAGCTGCTTGCCTAGCTGCCTAGCTGCTTGCCCCATTTGGCAATATTTGGCATATTTTGCCTCCTTTTCCTTTTTTTTTATTATCCTTTTTCACTTGCCATATCTTACCCGAAGGAGAGACCTGCTGAAGCCCGTTGTCCAAGCATTCATCGATGCAGAGCCCGAGGCGTTGGTTGTTGAAATCATTGGGCACCTTGAAATGCACAAGGACAGCTTGGTGAATTCGTGGTGTGGTACGGTGATCTTGGACACGGTGGCACGTTCGGGCAACGTTGAGGTGATGATGGAGTTGTGGGACGTGTTCCAGAAGAAACTGAGCTTGATTCGCAGCTGCTCGATGTTTGAGGTGGTTCTTGGAGGATTTGCTTCTGCTGGTCATCCTGAGAAGGTGGCTGAGTTTGAAGCTTTGATGCGCAAAGACAGGCTGAAACTATCTCCGCGTGGCCACTCGCTGATCATCAAGGGCTTCCTGAAGAATGGCTTGGTGGACGAGGTCTTCCACCGCATCATCGCAATGACCAAATCCGGGCACGTCGTGCCTGCCTTTGCCGTGGCTCAGTTTTTGCGCGTGGCTGCTGAGAATGGGAAGGCTGCCGCAATGTACGAGCAACTTTTGGAGGAGGGCATCTCTCTTGGCACAGAAGCTGTCACGGTGATCCTCGAGGAATGTGTGAAGAGTCACGATGCAAAGCTTGCCCGAAAAGTGGAACAGCATGCCCGTACTGCCCGCGTGCCGTTCAACATGCATGCCTATGATGCCATGCTGAAGGCCTATGCAGAGGATTGTGATGTCCGCGCACTTGAGATCTTCAAAGAGATGCAGGCCGAAGGCCACACCATCAGCGAAGGCCTTTGTGTCGGTCTTTTGGCTCGCTGTGCCGAGGGCAAGTTCCTGAGCTTCGCTGAGGAGATCATCCGTTTCGTACGTGCCGGTGGTGCCGGTGCTGGAATGACCATCGCCGTCTACAGTGGCTTGATGAAAGTCTACGCCTACAGCGGAATGTACGGCAAAGCCTGTGATTTGTACGACCAGATCCGCTCCGACGGCTTGGAACCGGACCAGATGATGTACGGCTGCCTGATGAAGTTCTCCGTGGAATGCGGCAGGACCGCCTTGTCCCAAGAGCTCTCCGAGAAGCTCTCCGTGCTCGACATCCAGCACCTTGGAAGATGGACGAAGAACGACAAACATCCGCTAAGAGGACAGGTTAATGTTGGACCTATGACCATCTATGACCTATGACATCTTATAAATAATTGGACTTGTTATGAAGCTGTAGACATCTTTCAGAGCATCTTTGAAAATATACCACAGGTGCTGCTCAGGCGGCAAGTGTGTGATTGGGCCTGAAATATGCCATGGAATGCGGGGTGTCACCATTTTTTTTCTCTCCTCTTCGAGCTTCGTGGCATTTCGTGGCATTGAAAGGGACTTGATTTCGCTCAGGAACTACATGTCCCTCATCAAGGCTGCTGGTCGTGACCGTGATGTCGACCGTGCATTTGGTATCATCCAACGCCTCCGTGAGAACAATGCAGCTTGCCCAACCCGAGTCCCAGTCGAGAACACCATTTGAACAGATTTGAACATATTTGAAATAACTAGTGGATACTAGTGGATGGTTGGATGATGTTAGATGCAGAAATAGGAGAAATTGCGGAGCATATTTTATTGTCGATTCTCATCCCACAGGGCTTCCATTGTAGCACTTTGTAGCACTTTGTAGCACTTTGCAGCATTGTAGCTAACAGAGTGTGGCTTTGTGTCGAGGTCAAGCCGGATGCCATTGCCTTCAACTGTGTCTTGGATGTTTGCGTGAAAGCTGGCGATATCCACCGTGCCAGACAGCTGGTTCAAGAGATGGAGGAGACGTTGTCGAATGCGAAAACGGACAGTACAGAAACGGTACAGAAACGGTACAGAAACGATCCAAATTGCAAGTTGCAGGGGCGCAAAAGATTGCAAACGCGTACATGTCAAGAACAGCTGCAGATAAAACCTCGGTCTGAGAGCCAGTTCACATTGGGTGCATTCACCGAGCCGAATCTGGAGAAAAAGACATGCCAGTAGTTAAACGGAACCAAATTAAAGCAAACACAAAGTGATTCTGTTTGCTTTAATTTTTCCAGGAACTTGGCCTGCTGGTAGCGTGTCTGCACTATATATTGTATACCCTTGACTCACAACTTTCGCCGCAGCCGCCAACTGTTCGGCATTGTTCGGCACTCTGCTTGTTCATGAGTTGAAGGATGTTAAATGCAGTTATGGGATGTTTAGGGTTTCAACCCGGGCATGGTTCAGGATTCGTCGCATGGCATCTGAATTTGTTCCAAAGGGATTCCTCAGGGGCTCGTATGGAGTTGAGTCATGACTCGGGAAAGCTGTTGCGCTGAGGATATCATCACCTACAACACCTTGCTGAAAGGATACTGCAACAATAACGACATCAAAGGTGCCAAGGACAGCGCAATAGGTGCTGCAGGCCGTTTCAAAGGGCCAATAATTGGACACGTGTTCTGCAAGGGGGCCACGATGTGAAGACGTTCCTGGTCATTGTGCGCTTTGGATGGGACCTCGTGCCAATCTGCCAATCTGTTCTTTCTTTTCCCTCCGGTTTGTTTTGGAAGCTCCGGATGTTGATACGTTCTGACTTGACCAGGACCTGCTGTCTGAGATGTCGGCCGCAAACTTCGAGCCAAATGATGTTTCCTACAACTGCCTCTCGGATCTGGATCTACTCCGATCCTCTTGGCTCTGCTTCTGATTGCTTCTGTCCAGATCATCGTTGCATCTAGTCATACCTTGTCAGCCAATTTGACTTCCAATCATGCCCATGTCGAGCTGTCAAGGCATCCTCAATGCAGCTGTGAACTGCGGCAACTTTGAAGACGCGTGGGATACCATCGCGAAAATGGAGCTTTGCTAGCAGAACATTCTTGCCTCTTGTTGAGTGCGGGCGTGCTTCCTTTTTTTATATCCGATAGATTCACGTCCTGTGGTAACATCAATACATAGAACTTGAGGCCGATTCTGTGCCAGTTTTGCACGGACGTGCTATGCAAGTTCCGAATCAATTCCAAGTCATGTATATCACGAAAGCCAGCCGCTAGGCTAGGCGAAGTTATTTTTGCGAACAAAGTGAGTTAAGGGGGTCTGGGGGCAGAGCGTCCGAAATCGGACAAAAATGAGGAAAATAGGTGGTAAAAAAGGTGGACGCAGTTAAACTTTTTTAGGGTTATGTACCAGGTGGCAATTGGGTGACGTTGGGGTATCGATTCCCCCCTGGTCCGCCCTCCGAGGTGCATCTGGGCAGATTGCAATGGAGGGGAAAATGATGAGACAAATAATAGAAAAAATGAGGGAATAGGACATAAAACAATGGGAAAAAAATGGGAAAGGAGGGGAAAATGATGAGAAAAACCATGGAAAAAAGGAAGGACTTTGACATAAAACAATGGAAAAAAAATGGGAAAGCAATGGACAATTTGAGTAGAACGCTTGGAAAATTGATTAAAACGCGAGGCGAAACGGTGGAAAGAATAGGGAGAGGGTAAAATGATGCCAAGTAAAATTGAGGCTCCGATGTGGGACCATTATCGTGTAAAGCCCGCGTGAAACAATGGAAAAGCAATGGAAAAATTGCAGTTTCGATGTGTGACCACTATGGAGTAGAAGCACAGAAAAAAACCATGGAGGAAACGAGCAAAACCGTTTATACGGTGCAACTGTAGGGATTGTGGAAGGTGCATTTGGGTAAGCGTTAGAGACACTGAGATAATAGAAGGGTAATGATGGAGAAATCGAGTAACACCATGGCAAAACACTGGAAAAATTCATGAAATGGAAGGATAAATTGATAGCGTAAAATATGGGACGATTGAGTAAAACTGGAGGAAAAACTGTGAAAAAAACACTGGGGAGACTGGAATGGAGGGGAAAATGATGTCGAGTAAAACTATGGAAAAGCAATGGAAAAAAATGAAAAAAATGTGGCTTCGATGTGAGACCATTAGCGATGGAAAAGCAATGGAAAAATCGAGGGACTATGATGAAGAAGTGGAGAAAAACAATGGAAAACATATTGGAAAAATTGCGGCTCTGATGTGGGACCAAAATGATGCCAAGTAAAATAAGAGTAAAATGACGGAAATTGATGGGATGGAAACACAATGGAAAAATTGAGGTTCCGATGTGGGACCATTATATGTGCAAGAAGAGTTTCTGGGTGAAGAGTCTCTAGGTGCAAAGTATATGGGTGAAAAGTTTGTGCAAGAAGAGTTTCTGGGTGAAGAGTCTCTGGGTGAAAAGTCTGTGCAAGAAGAGTTTCTGGGTGAAGAGTCTCTGGGTGAAAAGATGTGAAAAGTATATTGGTGAAAAGTATGTGCAAGAAGAGTTTCTGGGTGAAGAGTCTCTGGGTGAAAAGTATATTGGTGAAAAGTATGTGCAAGAAGAGTTTTGGGTGAAGAGTCTCTGGGTGAAAAGTATATGGGTGGGTAACGAAAAATATGTGCAGTTTCTAGGTGAGAGTCTCTGGGTGAAAAGTATATGGGTGAAAAGTATGTGCAAGAAGAGTTTCTGGGTGAAGAGTCTCTGGGTGAAAAGTATATGGGTGAAAAGTATGTGCAAGAAGGTTTCTGGGTGAAGAGTCTCTGGGTGAAAAGTATATGGGTGAAAAGTATGTGCAAGAAGAGTTTCTGGGTGAAGAGTCTCTGGGTGAAAAGTATATGGGCGAAAAGTATGTGCAAGAAGAGTCTCTGGGTGAAAAGTTTGTGCAAGGAGAGTTTCTGGGTGAAGAATCTCTGGGTGAAAAGTGTATGGGCGAACTGATGTGCAAGAAGAGTTTCTGGGTGAAGAGTCTCTGGGTGAAAAGTATATGGGTGAAAAGTATGTGCAAGAAGGGTTTCTGGGTGCAGAGTCTCTGGGTGAAAAGTATATGGGTGAAAAGTATGTGCAAGAAGAGTTTCTAGGTGAAGAGTTCTGGGTGAAAAGTATTCTCTGGGTAAAAAGTATATGGGTGAAAAGTATGTGCAAGAAGAGTTTCTGGGTGAAGAGTCTCTGGGTGAAAAGTCTGTGCAAGGAGAGTTTCTGGGTGAAGAATCTCTGGGTGAAAGTATATGGGTGAAAAATATGTGCAAGAAAAGTTTCTAGGTGAAGAGTCTCTGGGTGAAAAGTATATTGGTGAAAAGTATGTGCAAGAAGAGTTTCTGGGTGAAGAGTCTCTGGGTGAAAAGTATATGGGTGGGTGAAAAGTATGTGCTATGAAAAGTATGTGCAAGAAGAGTTTCTGGGTGAAGAGTCTCTGGGTGAAAAGTGAAATGTGCAAGAAGAGTCTGGGTGAAAAGTATGGGTAAAAAGTATATGGGTGAAAAGTAAAATTGAGGCTCCGATGTGGGACCATTATATGTGCAAGAAGAGTTTCTGGGTGAAGAGTCTCTAGGTGCAAAGTATATGGGTGAAAAGTTTGTGCAAGGAGAGTTTCTGGGTGAAGAATCTCTGGGTGAAAGTCTGTGCAAGAAGAGTTTCTGGGTGAAGAGTCTCTGGGTGAAAAGATGTGAAAAGTATATGGGTGAAAAGTATGTGCAAGAAGAGTTTCTGGGTGAAGAGTCTCTGGGTGAAAAGTATATGGGTGAAAAGTAGGTGCAAGAAGAGTCTCTGGGTGAAAAGTATATGGGTGAAAAGTATGTGCAAGAAGAGTTTCTGGGTGAAAGTATATGGGTGAAAAGTATATGGGTGAAAAGTATGTGGAAAAAAAGTTTCTGGGTGAAGAGTCTCTGGGTGAAAAATATATGGGCGAAAAGCATGTGCAAGAAGAGTTTCTGGGTGACGACTTCTGGGTAAAAAGTATATGTGCGAAAAGTATGTGCAAGAAGAGTTTCTGGGTGAAGAGTCTCTGGGTGAAAAGTATATGGGTGAAAAGTATGTGCAAGAAGAGTTTCTGGGTGAAGAGTCTCTGGGTGAAAAGTATATGGGTGAAAAGTATGTGCAGGAAGAGTTTGCGGGTGAAGAGTCTCTGGGTGAAAAGTATATGGGAGAAAAGTATGTGCAAGAAGAGTTTCTGGGTGAAGAGTCTCTGGGTGAAAAGTCTGTGCAAGGAGAGTTTCCGGGTGAAGAATCTCTGGGTAAAAGTATATGGGTGAAATGTATGTGCAAGAAGAGTTTCTGGGTGAAGAGTCTCTGGGTGAAAAGTATATGGGTGAAAAGTATGAGGGTTTCTGGGTGCAGAGTCTCTGGGTGAAAAGTATATGGGTGAAAAGATGTGCAAGAAGAGTTTCTAGGTGAAGAGTCTCTGGGTGAAAAGTATATGGGTAAAAAGTATATGGGTGAAAAGTATGTGCAAGAAGAGTTTCTGGGTGAAGAGTCTCTGGGTGAAAAGTATGTGCAAGAAGAGTTTCTGGGTGAAGAGTCTCTGGGTGAAAAGTATATGGGTGAAAAGTATGTGCAAGAAAGAGTTTCTGGGTGAAGAGTCTCTGGGTGAAAAGTATATGGGTGAAAAGTATGTGCAAGAAAGAGTTTCTGGGTGAAGAGTCTCTGGGTGAAAAGTATATGGGTGAAAAGTATGTGCAAGAAGAGTTTCTGGGTGAAGAGTCTCTGGGTGAAAAGTATATGGGTGAAAAGTATGTCCAAGAAGAGTGAGAAGAGTCTCTGGGTGAAAAGTATATGGGTGAAAAGTATGTGCAAGAAGAGTTTCTGGGTGAAGAGTCTCTGGGTGAAAAGTATATGGGTAAAAAGTATATGGGTGAAAAGTATGTGCACGAAGAGTTTCTGGGTGAAGAGTCTCTGGGTGAAAAGTCTGTGCAAGAAGAGTTTCTGGGTGAAGAATCTCTGGGTGAAAAGTATATGGGTGACATGTATGTGCAAGAAGAGTTTCTGGGTGAAGAGTCTCTGGGTGAAAAGTATCTGGTTGAAAAGTATGTGCAAGAAGAGTTTCTGGGTGAAGTCTCTGGGTAAAAAGTATATATGGATGAAAAGTATGTGCAAGAAGAGTTTCTGGGTGAAGAGTCTCTGGGTGAAAAGTCTGTGCAAGAAGAGTTTCTGGGTGAAGAATCTCTGGGTGAAAAGTATATGGGCGAAAAGTATGTGCAAGAAAAAAAATTGGGTGAAGAGTCTCTTTGTGAAAAGTATATGGGTCAAAGTCTGTGCAAGAAGAGTTTCTGGGTGAAAAATCTCTGGGTGAAAAGTATATGGGTGAAATGTATTGAAGAGTCTCTGGGTGAAAAGTATGGTGGAAAATAGGGGTAGATGGGATGCTGGCTTTCGTTCCCCCCTTCTCAGGTGGCTTTTTAGGTATATATATAAATAAATATAAATAGTATAATATTATTAGTATAATAGCATAGAGTAACTCAACAAGGTGTTGCAACATCTCACCCTGTCCAAGGAACAAATGAACGTGAAGCCTGACCACTACACTGTTACTTGCAAGCACTAATGATCTAAAGCTCGTTGTAAAGCACATAGGGACAGAAACAGAAAGACTATGAAAGACTTCAAATCTCCATGTGAAGTTTCTGGTGTTGTTTTCTTTGCATTCAGGAGCTTGACTTTTCTTGAGGTGTCCATCATGCTCAAAGCGCTGAAGAGAGCCAAAGGCACCAAGGATGTCCCTGGGCTGCGGGACCCATTTGAAGCCACGTAATTCGTATTCCAATAGTGAAAATGGTCTGAACATTTTGAAAATTGAATCATCGAGATCTTCGAACATTTTGATGTGCCAAAAATTGCACGGAAAATGCAGCTACGGTTTGCGACTCAGCTTTTGCTGTAAGCTTCAGGTGCATCGCTGCCTGAGCTTTTTGGATCGCTCCAGCATTGATCCCTGCTCAGATGAGATTCTGATGAACACTGCAGCTCGGCTTTGCCAATTTTCAGCTGTTGGGATGTTCGAGTTTCAAGTGGACAACATTAACATTGGACAACTGATACGACAACTGTGGGTCATTGATGATCATTGTCCCAGGTGTTGGAGACCTACATTCGCCACAAGGAATACAGGCCGGACGCCTGCAATGGTAAACCAAATTGCACCAAATTGCACCATGTTTGCAGGGTGCATGGTTTTAACATGTTTCAACGTGTTTCAACATTCCGACGAGTTGGGGTATTGCAGTCGTTGCCTTGTCTTTTTGCGTTCCATTTAATTTTATCTGCTTTCATATCCTTTCATCATTGTCCTCAAAAACAAGTGTCCTTTCTCAAGAGCCATGGGTGCAGCAAAACACTACCCTCAAATTGTCACGTGGAAAAGCCTAGAATAGGTATGAATAGCTTGCAATGGGTCACCATGGGTCTCCATGCGTCACCATGGGTCTCAATTCCCAAGAGTCTGTTATTCCGGGTGTAAACATTGAGCTGATCTCAAGTCTGAAGAGTGCCTCATTAAGATCAGCTTTGATCATGATGAAAGACGATGAAAGCACTGGAAGAGAACTCTCTCGCAGGCGTTTGGAAAGCCTCCTCAGCAAATTTGTGCCTTGTCAGCGGTAGACTCCGTTAGATGTTTGGACCTGGCCACTTTCATCCTGTGTCCTGTGACAAAATGTGACAAAGATTGTGACAAAGATCTCACAGTGTTGTGAAGAATCGTGAGATCACCGGCTCAGACGGCTCAGAGCCAGACCTAGCACCAAGCCACAGACCAAGGAGCAGTCAAACTTGCGACCTTCAGTTCCTACTTATGGCTCGATCATCAAGGCATACGCAAACCTGAAGCGCCCAGAGAAGTGCTGGCACTTTTGGAATGACACTTGGTCGCCGACATTTCAGGATCATCCAGGATCATCCAGGATCATCCAGGTGCAGCGTCAGTCATGTAGATCCTGTAGGTCACTGTAGGTTCTTGGGCATGCGCACGCTGTAATCCAAAGTATTCCAAAGTCAATGTTGTGTTGGCAAAGGACTCCGTTCACATCCCTCCCCCTGCTTGGTAGGTTGCAGATATGTGATGATCATCATGTTCTTCACCTAATGCTCTCATCACAAACCAAAGATCACCTAACTTCATCCAAGTTCACCTAAGCGACTTAGCCTACCTGCTATTTTCACAAATCCTCAAAGGCCTAAGGGATCCTAAGATTCCTAAGGGCCTAAAATATGCCTGAGATATCCTGAGATCACAGTGCCAGAGACAGTGCCAGAACATCCAGAGCTTTGATCTGAGGAGATGCAAGGCCAGCGAGGCTTGGAGCCCAACGACATCGTCTTCGGCTGCATGCTCGATGCTCTCGTGTGCAACAACCAAGTGGATGAAGCCGTGAAGCTCTTCGTCGCTTTGACATGCTTTGACGCAGATAATTATACAATATTGTACGGCAATAATAAATGACATCAAATGACTAATTTAATGACTGCCTAGACTCACTTAGACTATCTGACTATCTAAGTTCAATCTGAACCGGTACGCCATAGGGACAAAAGAAGAAGTCGTGCAGTTGAGTTGTCTCCGATGTCTCCATTTTTTCTCCAAGTTTTCCCACACATTGATTTATTGATATACCAAATTCAGAGAACCGCTCTGAGGAGAGCAGCACTCTGAAGCCCAACGCCGTGCTGTGCTCCATCCTCGTGAAGGGCTTCACAACCACAGGGCAGACCCAACGTGCCATGTCTCTGTGGCATGAAATGCGCAGCAAGGGCGTGAGGATGAACACAGCCGCATGCAACGCCTTCGTCGATGCTCAAGCTCGAGTTGGTAACATGGATGAGGTGCTGCTCATTGTGGAAGCCATGGCACAAGACGGTTGCAGGCCAGATGGCATCACCCACTCCACCATTGTGAAAGGCTATGCCGTGAAAGGAGATCTGGACAAGGCAATGGATGTCTTGCGCAGCATGCAGGACAGTGGCATGCACCACGATGCCATCGTGTACAACACCATCCTTGACGGATGCACCAAGCACAAGCGAACAGACCTTGTGGACCCAATCCTTGAGAGCATGCAGGAGCACCACATCAGCCCAACCAACTTCACATTGGGCATCCTGGTGAAGTTCTACAGTCGCCAGAAGCAGCTGGACAAGGCATTTGCATGCATGACTACCCTGCCGAAGCGTGGGAACTTTATTCCAAATTGCCAAGTCTGGTCTTGCTTAATGGGAGCTTGCCTGATGAATGGCAGTCCTGCCAAAGCGTTGCAAGTGTTCCGTGACATGCGTGCTACAGGGCAGAGTGCTGACACAAGGGCTTGTACATCACTGGTGTCGGGCTTGGTGCGCATGGGCCAATTGAAAGATGCCGTGCAGGTGGTGGATGATGTGCTTGGACTCACCGGCAAAGGCAAGTGTCATGGTGTTACCATTGACCAGGATTGTTTGGAGAGTTTGTTGACTGCCTTGGTTCAGAAAGGTTTGCGTGAAGACATGGCAGCACCGCTCTTGGAACGGCTCCGTGCAGCCCATGTTCCGCTGAGTGGCCGTCTGATGGCCGCAACCCTCGCTGACGGACCGGACTATGCAGGACCTCCAAATCCACGCTCAAAATCAAAGTCCCAATACTACGCATAAGCCGTGTGAACCCCACTGCCATGTATAGCAAGCAGTGCCCGAGCCTCAGCTGGGGCAGAGATTTCACTTGAATTTCACTTTGCATATTTTTTTTCGATCTCCTTTTCTGTTATGTCTTCTCTATGCACCTGACTGTCGGAAGGACATCGTTTGTAAAGCAGTCAGCTCAGGCACCAGATCCCCTGAGCTTTGCAAAGCGACCGGCCGGAGTAGGCGGGACACAGGCTGCTGGCAGTTGGCATTCTTCCTAGTTACTAGTTTAGTCATGAAAAATGAACGGGAATCAAATATCGATCATATAATGACAGCGATGAACGAAGTGGAACTGGAGCTCTTGAAGTGAGACTTTGCTGGGCGTTAGGCGGTTGGCAGCTTCCCAGCGGTTCGTCCGCTGGCACCTTGCCATGAGTGGAGATGCAGGATGAAAAAGTGCATCTGCCATATCTGCCCGCTGCACACGGTCGAATGCGTTTTCGTTTTCGCCAGTGGCCTCCGCGAAGCATTTTTCTTGCTCCCAATCAGATTCAACCGTTGCCCATCCGTTATCCATCGTTATCCATTTTACGTTTTCGTTGCATTTTGTAAAGCCTCCCTTTGAAATTAGGTGATTGCTCCTGAAGCTTGGCTGGACCCTGAGCATCCCTCGAAGAGCTCGCTTCAATTTTAAATCTTCACATTTGCGCGAATTCATGAGTGATCCAAGTGAACCTTTTCAATGGAGCTGTCATGAAGCAGAGTCTTGGTGTCATCGCAGCCTTGCTTTGGATTTGCAGCTGTAGAGCACTGTAGAGCTTTGGCTCATGGATTCGATTTCATCGATTTCGCATGTTCTCTGCGAGATCTTCGCGGCCGCGCATTGTGACTCGTCTGGGCATAAGCGGGGAAAAAAAACAAGATCGCAGTGATGGCAGCTCTATCTTTGGACACTTGCCCTTGGTGCAACGACCTAGAGCCGCGATGGATCTGCAAAAGTGATGGTCCGTGGTCGATCTATCCATTGTGGTGACACTTGCGATTTCCGCCGGCCTCGATGTCGCGACACAGGTGGAGCCTGGTGGAGCCATTGCCGTCATTGCTGTCCAATATTGTCCAATGAATTGCAAGTCAGCAAGTCCCTGACAGAGTCACCAAATCACTCACTGAGTGCGATTACTGCCAGATCTTTGCCGTGGTGACTCTGGGACAGAATTCAGAAAACCGTCCGATACTTTTTGGACTTACTGGGTGTAGAGAGGCTGCTTTTAGGGGGAATGTGATCCGTGTAATTCTCATGAAGTGTCTGTAGCGATGTGATTTGCATATATTTAATTTGCATTCTAGTTGGCCAAGGTGACATTCCACTGGAAGTTGAAACACAGGGAGGTGGCAGCGCATGTGGAGACTTCCAGTGATACCTCTGGCGCAAGTTCTTCCTGCGCAACTCCCACAACTGTGCCTTGGCAACTGGATCTAAAATGATCTAAAGACACAGGTGAGGTATCAGTGCGCAAAGAGGCTGCAAGGTTGCTTCTTGCAAGCCTATGTGAAGAGGTTGGATTTTGCATGTATGCTCTATGCTTACTGGGCTTACTGATTTGGTTTCCAAAACCAGACATGTAATCAGCGGATCACCGGATTCGCAGACTGGCAGTGCCTGGGGTGCAGACAGCACTGGTTGGTTCAGCTTAGGGAAGTTGCCCAGCCCAGGCACTGCCTCATAACATAATTCTCAAAAATTATCAAATCTACAGCTGCAGCTGCTGCAGCTGCTTGTGCCAGGGAAGAACTTTTGCGTTCAGAGCTTGAAGTGCAATGCTTTCACTACCTGGTCTGAAGATGGGTCCCGTGTACACCCGGGGATGACGAAGAGGAGTTTGGCAGCAAGGCGCAGCAACTACGCAGAGCGCAGAGGCCAACATGCTTGTGCTCTTGGCAGAGGCATCGTGCCCTCCTACAGCACGTCAGGCCTGCATACATGAATAAAAAATGGCATACCTTTGAAACACCCTTTCAGACATTTTAAAACCCTTTCTCTTAAATTTTTCAGCGGGGTTATGCCATGTTATGCCACCGGTAATGGCTACGATGTCTAGTGCTTATCAATTTGTCGCTAGGCTGCCTCACTTGTTGAGCAGTGCTCGGTGGTGAATCAGTGAAGTTGCCAAGGGAGGAAGAGCGTTTGCTGAATTTCACCCACTTGCTGCAGCGCTATGTTCACCTCGCAAAGAGTGGAGCTGTGGCAAAGTACTTTTTTGACTGACCGCACCGGGCAGCGCTGTCTCGCAAGAATTCCGCCTTGTATGTAGGGGTGGCCGGAAAATATGAGCCTGTGATGCAAGACTGGAGACTTCAGAAACTGGCGGCGTTTACAGTAAATGTTCTTGCGTGGTTTCTACATCTCTTTTCATGTTGTGGAACTTTAGTTTTAAGCTTGAAATTGTTCTGAGCTGCACCTTCTGTGCACACCGTTAGCTGGCTTGCATCAAGATGGACAGACTAGGCAAGGCTCTAACAGTTTGTTAAAGCATGCCCATTTTATGATGGGACGCTAGGAACAAAGATGCTCGAACATTTCTGGCATTTCTTGATTTGACGAGATGTTTTTTTTGGCGGGGGCAACTTCAGTCAACACTTTGGGGCCATTTGTAATCCATTTGCAGCAAAAGTGATGCCTTGCCTACACCAACCACGGCAAAGACAGGAATGGCAGCAACATGAAAGATTCTGAAAGAGTAAGCAGAGTTTAGCAGAGTAAGAGCAGATACTCGTACAGCAAAAACTAGAGGATGGTGCTCAAGTTGACTCAAGTTGACTCAAGTTGACTCAAGAGGTTTCGCGCTTGCTTTGTGGGAATGCAACGGATGCCATGGCCGTTGCCGCTTCTCCCGTGGCCTGTGCTAGTGCCTGCGCATGGGGCGCATGGGGCGCATGGGGTGCATGGGGTCAGGGACAGTTTGTTGGCACGGGATTCCATTGAAAGCGTCCAAGAGTGGCATGACAGCCTGGCCGATGAAACAGCTGCACTGAGAGATATCTCTTCAGATGTTTGTTGGCATGCTGGCTTCACCAAAGAACGATGTTGCCGTGGTGATCCTTCAACAACAAAGGATTGCTGGGATGGCAGCTACAGTTTCGGAGAATGTTGCCCAAATGCTGACTGCTGGATGGGTGAGACCTTCACCTATGATTTTTGTTGTGCTGATAGGCATGGCCCAGAAGGCAATCAAGCCTGTTGGAGTGGAGATTTTACACACCAGCTGTGCTGCTTAGCGAATGCAACCTCGAATAGTTGGGCAGATATCTTGGCATCCGAGATTGAAACCGAACAGTTCTACCAAATGGACGACTTCTACACAGATGCACAATACGGTGACGAGTGGGGCTACTACTCCAAGGGGCATGTCTTGCTGGGTGGCGGTAAAGGTGGCCAAGGTCAAGAGCAAACTCAGCAGTTTGCCCACTTTACAACTTATCCCATGGCCCTCTCGCCCCATTTTGCTAGAGTTTTTTGTCGGCTCCTCTTCATTATGTGGGTGGGGTGCCCAGCAGACACATGTGTTGTGCCATCACACTTCAATTGCCATGAAGTATCACCATGGAAGGTCAGTTATATATACAAATATATACAATACATAGATATGACAAACAAATACGCAAACAATGAGCTTTGAACTTTGCTGGTTAATATATTTTTTTAATGTGTTGTTGTTTATAATTTATAATTTATAATCAACTAATAGGCTGGACACTGCTATCAGTGTGACGATGTGTTCCAGTGCGGCCGCTTTGATCAGGTTCAGTTGCACGAGCGCGCCCCTTTCCGAGTGGTGGAAATGGGTGCAGGCTTGGCCGCCTTGGTGCAGCTACCACATACTCAGGAAATGGCAAGGGGGCACTATATGATCTCATACTTGTATGCTATAGGCCATATATATCCATATCATATATATATATATGATTAAATGTGACACACACACATACACATATATTGAATTAATCATTGTAACCATCTGCTTCATCATTGTAATCATCCGCTTTATTATGATTCTATATGATAATTTTTGATACTCTATGATGCAGACCTTTTTAGAATAGTGAATTTGCCATACAGCTCCAAGCACCCAGATGCGGCTGTTGAACAAAGGTGTCACGTCGTCACGTCCCAGGTTCTGGGCAGTTGGCATATGACACGCAGCAGTGTGTCCGGACCAATGCCCTGGGCCTTGCGCCAGCTGTGTGGCGGAGATGGGCTGCGGCATTCGAGCAGCTTGGCACAAGGACGTTGCGGCTGACGTCTCGCTGGGGTACCTGACGGGTGCCTGTGTTACACCATGTTACACCATGTTACACCATGTTATACCATGTTACACCACATGGAGGAACATGAAACGAGGTGATTTGATTTGTGACCATGAGCCTTTCCATTTGTGATTTGTGGGTGGCCCATGGTGGCCCCAAGTCATCCAAAGTCACCTGAGGTACACCATCATGGAGAGGCTTTGCAATTGCCATTAACCGCTAATGCTGGATGACATGCTGGATGACATAGGGCACATGTCTTGTGATCGTGATTGGTTTCTCTCGAAGATACGGATAGATTCGGATAGATTATGCAGTATAGAGGCTATGTGGCCATTGGCTGTGGAGCTGTTGTACGTTGAAATGGTATTGATATGTAGAAAAAATGGTGGACATGGTACAGGTCTCCAGCCCTGCGAAAGCGGCAGCAGTCCAGAGGGCTGCGATCAGTGGCGGGAGATGCGCAATCGACGGCCTGGAACTCAATTACCATTTTCAATATCTTTCAATATTTTTCAATATTTTTCAATGGTCAATTCTTTTTCGGTCCACTTTCGGCTGGCTTTAACATATTTAACACGCTGTGACTGTTCAGAATTGCAATTCCTGTGAGACCCAAGAAAACGCTTTAACTTTAAATCATTTGGTGAGTGTTTTGGTCAGACTGTTGGTGCTGTCATGGTGAGGGCAGCTGCAAGTCAGTGCTTGCTGCTTTGGCGGCA